CCTCCATCTCCATCGTCTTCTTCACAGGAGACCTCCATCTCCATCGTTTTCTTCACAACGAACCTCCATCTCCATCGTCTTCTTCACAGCTTTTTCACAGCAGACCTCCATCCCCATCGTCTCCTCCACAGCAGACCTCCATCTCYATCGTCTTCTTCACAGCCGGCCTCTGCCTCCATCTCCAYCGTGTCCTCCATCTTTTTTTAAGGTAAAACTATCTCTATCTCTCTCGCTTGTCTTCTCCACAGCAGGCCTCTGCTTGAATTTGAATATTATCTTGTTTAGGGTTTTTGTTTCGATTTAGGAAATTTGTTACTGCTTGAATTGGGAAATTCATGTATTTTGTTTCAATTTTTTTCTATTTTCGAGGCTTAAATGTGAATTTTAACTAGTAATTTTGGTTCATTAGACGTAATTCACTCAAATGTTTGATTTAGGGTTCTTAGGATTGTTCATTGTTCATTGTGTTGTGATATGTAGTTATGTATTTGAAATGTCACTGGGGGTAAATTGGTCATTTTAACCAGTTTTGTCTTGTTCTGTCCTGTCCTGTTATGTCTTACCAAACGCKGAACACCTGTCCTGTCCTGTTCTGTTCTGTCCTGTCCTGTCCTGTCCTGTTCTGTCCTGTCTGCGTACCAAACACACCCTTAGTAAACTCCAAAGGCTTTTTTCACTGTTTTCCAATTATGCCCTTTGTATTTACATAAAATAACCAAACATCTATATTTTTAAGGCGATTTACATCTTCATCTATCAAACATAGTGAAAGACTAAGATCACCTCAGGAGCCATGTAACCTAGGGTTCCAGTTTCACCCGTCATGTCTTTGGGATTCTGAGCTTCAACTCGAGCAACACCAAAATCGGCAATTTTTAGGTTTCTATTAGCATCTAATAGCATATTTTCAGCTTTAACATCGCGATGCACAATCTTCTTTGAATGGAGGTAGCTCAGTCTGCAACATTACTAACATTTATATATTCATTTGTTAAGGAGAGAAATATCTAGGTATGATACAAGAAAAACTCACCCTCTAGATAGATCTAAAGCAAGTTGAATCACATCTTTGTATGGAAGCTTCTTCCTTCTATTCTTGTATAGTAAGCCTTTTAGGGTTCCACCCGTGAGAAATTCTACGACCACACAACAAGCCTTCGATGGAAGTTGTTCATTCGGACCGTCAGCTGAGTTTGTAGTAGGAATCTTGAGATCTGAAGTCCCCATTGAAGCGCCAACAAACTGCATTCCACTCTATGATTACTAAGAATATCAAAAAAGGGGTTTTTCGGACCCTCTGATAAGTATAGAAGCGAGTTGCAAGCATGTTATTTACTCTAGTAACATTCGGATGGTCTAACTTGTGCCAAACAGCAACTTCTTGCTTGAATGACGCTCGTAAAGCAGCCAGTTCCATTGTAGTTGCCATGTCATCCTCACCCCAATCCAACAGTTTCACTATATTACAATAAGGAGGATTTCAAATTGTTGAGAAGTTCAAATATAGATAGCCTCATAGCAAGCATTCGAGTAAAACCAAATAATTTACCCGCAACATCTTGGTCATCATAAATGCCACGATAAACAGTACCGTACGTTCCTCGAGCAATGAGATACCTTATTTCCAACTTAGCCAAATCGATCTCCCACGGTTCCTTAGGCCTATTAGGTTCTACACTTCTTGACCAAGCTCGGCTCAGGTGCTTCTCTAAGTGCACATCCAAGCTTTTGAGATCAATTTTATCAGCTCTAAACAACATGTCTTTGCTGCTCGCACACCTATTGCTCTCCCCCAACTTGTCGTTCTCTCCACCATTTTTCAACAACGATTCAGAAACCTCAGGCTTTGGGTTTTCTTCAGCTTCCTCATTTGTTCTAGAATCCATTTTCTACAAACACAAAGACGAATAATTCACATGCATAAAAGGCTAGAAAATCAACAGAATACATTTACTTTTTCTATAAAGATTTGAAATTGATGTTTCAAAAGTTGGTTTTACACGACCGAATTCGTTTTTAAAGGAGAATCTGAATGCGTATAAAATTAAATATCATAACTTTTCAATTTGTATCCAAGAAAAAATTGCATGTTTGAAAGGGTATGTACCATTAAAGTTACAGACTCCAGTTTTCTGAAGATTCATGGATAGAAACCTATTTTTTCACAATTATAGATCCGATTTCAAGAAAGATGAGACCACATGGCAAGATTAATAGACAAAGAGCAAAGACCACCACATTGGTCATTAAGAAATTCTAAGAGATAAAGATTGAAAATAACAAGCACCCGGGACTCAATATACAAAACGCAGACTAAGAAATTCAAATGTGGGAAGAGCGAGAGAGAAAGACAGAAGGGGGAAAGAGAGACATAAAGGCTTGACTATACCCTAAATGGTGAAAGCCAAAAAAGAGATAGTAGTGGCTCAGGAGTCACATGATGGATTAAGCCGAATAATAGAATGAGAAAATGGTGGTAAGAAAGTTGAAGATAAACATGGGGAGATGAAAGCTAGGAGCCTTTTATTTTGCGAAATCAAAGGGATAAAAACATTAGAGGTAATCAAGAGAGAGAGTTGTGAACCATTACTTCTAATCTCTTTACCCCTTAGACTTCGAAAATTAAGCTTCTCCTTTTACTTCATAATTAATGTCGACTTTTACTCTTTCTTGCCACATTTTCTCGACGTGTAGTTGTGTGCCAATTGTCCAAGAAAAGGAGAAATGTTGTATCCAACAATGTAGGAGGAAGAGGGAAAATTGCCACCTATAAATGAGGTATCTTTCTGTGTCCTTCTAACATAATATTTTGTTCCCAAGAGGTTATGAAAACCATGATGGGGTCGGCTTCAAGTATGATCCGTTGACCATGAAAAAAATATATATGATAACAATGATCATGATGACAAGAGATATGGTACAAGAACTTTTTCACATTTTTAAATCGTACTTAGCATTCTTTGTACAAAAAATTTATATCGAATATGTGATTCACTAATTGTCACAAATTGTCAAGTTTTGATTCAAATTTATTGCAGTTATCAAATTTATACCAAAACATGAACGATCCGTAGTAGTTTTGATTATAAACACACAAATTTTCATGTGTTCACTTGTGAAGATTGGTTATGCTTGCTGGTGACCATAATTTTTGTTTGGTAACACAAGTTGGGAACATTTCATATATGAACCTGCAATATGTTCACTTTGATTAACCATTTTTATGTTTAATTAAATTAATATAATCATTCTAGAATCTTGAAATATATTGATATAACTATGATCCTTAAAAACAAGCAAGTAATAATTTGTAACACCTCAATGAATACCATAAAAGTAATTTACGCATAAAAATTATTGAATTTGTATTTTATCATTGAATCAAACATTTGAAATAACCTCTACTAAAAAATGAATCTTATTGGTCCAAGAAGTTCACAAAGTTAACATTATACTTTTGATTAACAAAAGATCATTCCTCCATATATATAAGAGCAAACTCCACTTTTGTGGTTTGCAAAAACATCCAAAAATCGTATATGTGATTGACCGGGAGTTTCGACAGGAGATGGCGGAGGTCTTTTATTCGATAAGAGTAGTGCCTCAGTAAATTACATACCTTATTTAGTCTAAATTACAAAAATAATATGTTGATTATTTAATAATATTAGTTATTACTTTAATATTAATCATTTGAACTATATTAAAAATATATTATTTTAATTGAATATTTTCTAGTAAATATTGTTGGCTTTTTCAGATGAATATTGTCGGGTTTTCTAGGCAAATCTTGAGCGCTTTTCCGGGCGAATCTTTTTGACATTTCCAGTCGAATCTTGTCGGATAACAAGTTCACAATACCACCTTCTAGTTTGGCTATAAATACCCCCTCCGAGTTGTTATAAACTACATCGTAGTTCTCCATGCAAACAAAAGGATTACAAATCTTGTTTAGATGGCATCCCCAAAACTTCATGTGTGGAACTTTAGGTCTTTATGGGAAATGCTTTTATCTACAATGACCGAGTTGTATGGTTAGTATATAAGTTTGTTAGTTCATAATTGTGTTACATTTCTCCTAATGCATTATTGTTAATATTACACCACAGTTGTTTACCTACAATTGTTCACGATGAAAGTCCGCCATCAATGGTATTTTACAGAACCACCGAATATATGTTACCTAAATGGCATAGAAATATGTTGACATGTTGGATATCGACAATCTCTCCATGCAATTCGTTCACCAGATAATGGAAGAGCTAGGATACGAGAGCACAAATATTTGAAAATATATTTCAAAAATCCAAAAGCAGACTTATTAAATGGACTACAAGCATTCATTGTTGATGAAAATGTAATGAGTATATGACAATATGTTGGCAGGCATACTGTAATTGAAGTATACATAGAAAAAGTGGTCGTTAACACTTTGAGACAAATATCACCAGAGTATATAAGAAGTTGGATGGGAAGGTGCAAAAAACCAACCATTATGTAGTTGAAGCTTGACATTTGACTGATCTTTTGACATGTAGATGATTTATTCTCTATTTTTGTTGATCCTCTCTCTAATTGATTTGATGATGATCTCTTTTGTCTATTGAAGTAAATTGTTTCTGTTATTCAGTTTCAGTGATCTTTACTGAATCTGTTTAGTGATCGCTGAACGTATATTGTAAATCATTCAGAGACTGTTATACTTCAAGAAGACAAAACTCACACCACATATCCTTCAACAATGTCAAAGAAAGAAGCTGAAGATTAAAGACCAGCAAATTCATGATCTGAAGCGGTATTCAGTGATTACAAGCTCGTCTACATATGTGTGAAGTCTGCACAAGTTTCAACGAACACTGAAGAGACCTTTCAGCGTCATCCCATTATTCAGCGATCAATTGAAACTTGTCAAGAAAGATTTTTTTTGTCTTGTCCTCTCTCACACAAAAGACAAATTCATACATTTCTAAAGTATAGTACAGTACGGAGCCACTTCGCTGCTCTAACGTGCTTACCTACTTTATGAAAGAGGACTGTTCACATACGGCCAAAAGGCTGCCATATAAATAAATAGTTGAATGGTTCTCTTCTCAGTTATCATCTTCCTCACTAAGAACTTACCCAAGACGTTACTTCTCTCACTACTCTCGAACCCCTTTAACAAGTGAATAGCACTTTTATTCTTATTTATATTTTTAACAAATCTTTTCTCTTTGATATTTGTAAGTGTGTGTATCTTGGATTGTTTAGATAGGCTCTTTACCTTATCTTTTCCGCAAACAATCTGTAAAATTTGTATTGATCTTCTTTATCAATATATAATTCTAAAAGTGAAAGTTTTTGTGTTTGTATTCACGCCTCCTTCTATAAACTGATTACCTATAAACTCTTGTAGATCCGGTTAGGACCAATAATTTTACTTTTATTAGAAAGAAGTGATAAATGTTATCATGGATTTGAAGATTTTGTATGTTTCTGTTTGTGCATCAATTGTGTGCCACATCAATCATAGCCAAAGTACAAAACATTTTTCATTAAAATAAAAATTCAAACTTTACGCAGAAAAATATTTTGATCAAGTGCAAATAATTGCGATGATTTATTGATTAGGATCAAAAGTTGGGTAGGAGTTTCCATAATAATCTAAGTTCACCTTGATCATCCAACCACAAATTTCCTGGCAAACTACCTCGTATTCGCTCTTGATGATCTATTGACTTTAAACTCGAAATCCTAATGAATAAATTTCAAGCCCATGGCTAATACCAGTTCTTCTTTCATGGTAAATATTTCTCCAAGGCTAATGTGTGGAGTGTGATTATCATTGAGCGACTCGTTGTGTGTGATCGTGGGTTCTGGTGTTGGGAGTATATGAGGTATACCATAAAAATCATTAATAGCTAAAATAATCTACTAAAATAATGTTTTGCTACTCATGCTTCTCGTTCTCGTCCTCCTTCTCCTTCTTCATCACCATCTACAAAATTTGGATCATTGATCTAAGGTATACCCAATTTAAATATATCAGCACCTTCTTCAATTTCTTCGATATCAAGAATCCTCCGGTCGTTGTAGGTTCTTCTTGGGGTAGAAACTAAGGTGGGACCAAAACCGTAACTCAACATTGAATTATAGAATTGAAATTGTCTAAGTCTTACTTCAAACATGCTGGAAAATTTGTATGAATTGGTGTTGTCAACTCATTCAGTAAAAAAAATAACTTCAAAAAAACCAAGTTAAAATAAAATAAAAAATATGCATATAAAAATAGTTTAAAAAATTCTATAAAAAGAATAGTTTTAAAAAAAATTAAAAGATAATAATAATTTAAGAAAGTTGCATTGAAAGATTGTTTCTACGTAAAGTTGTAGAACATTCGGGTTATTTTAAAATCTGGAAACTAGGGAAAAACATTAAAAAAGTTAATTTATTTTAGTAATTTTTCAAGAAAAATTGAACAAAGTATAAAGACCAAAATCGTAACTTAATTGAATTATTAAATTGGTGTTATCAAATTTTAATTCAAAAAGTTGTTTGAAAAAGGGACGCTGAAAATTTGTATTGAATTGGTGTTGTCAACTCATTCTTTTTCTAAAAAGAGAAAATAACTTCAAAAAAGGAAAGTTACTGAAAATTTAAGGAAAAAATAATTAATATTATTAATATAAAAATACTTTTATAAATTAAAAAAGAAAAAATAGTTTAATACAATTTTTAAAAAACAATTTAAAAACTAAAAATAGTTTTAATATCTTTGTGAAAAAATAGTTTAAAATTTTCTAGAAAAATAGTTGTAAGACCATATAAAATAAAATAAGTTTATGGAGAAAGTTTGTTTCTAGGTAAAGTTTAAAAAATAAAATTTAAATTTGGAAAAAATAGTAAA